GCCCAGGGCTTAAGAGAATTCAGTGATTTCCTCGAGCAGGTYGCCATCGCCAGCGTGCACATGAACTCCRTGAAAATATTTGAATATCCATCAAAGTTGKAGTCACTCGTCGAGAAATTACCACCTTGGTTTCACGCAAAATGGACTACTGAGGTTCAAAACCTGCAACAAGAAAGGGGATGTGATGCTTTCCCAAGCTTTTCAGACTTTGTCCGTCAAGTGACTTACCACGCAGACCGCATGAACATCCCYCAAATAACAAGACAAAGCACACAAACTAACAATKCTGGACAARARRCTGTAACTCAACTTAACTCAGCAAAGATTCTGCGCCGAAGGCAGCCCGGAACATCCACAACCCTCGTATCGAAGCTGACTGCGCCAAAACCTAAACCTGACAATACACGGATCAAGCCGGCAGAAGAGAAGACACTGGCCGACAAAACCCCATTCTGTCATTTCCATAAAAAGAGAACACACACKATTAACAGCTGCAAGAAGTTTAGAGAGCTTCCAATAAGCGAACGAAAAGACTWCTTTCTAAAAAACAAATTATGCTACAAGTGTGCAACCTATGAAGAACATTTGGCAGCTAACTGCAAAGAAGCACCACCTGAATGCAGTGAATGTCACAAACAACACCTTACAGCACTCCACGACGATTCTGTCACTAAGAAAGCGTCAATCGCCTGCACACAGGTGTGCAGAGAGGAGGAGGAAGAGCGCTCATGCGCGAGAATAGTACTAGTCAAGATTTCCCANATCATTGTATGCCACATTTATAATATTCATTAATAATTCATAAGTTACACAGCCATTCAGTGACCGTTATTGTAGTCACATGACTACCCTTGTATTCACCAATTCAAACTTAAAGCGCGGGGAGGGCTTGAATTCAGAGCAGGGAAAGGGTGGGGTTGATGAATAATATTAATAGAGAATGAGATCTATTAGTATTCTATATACAAATACTAGATCTTGATTCTTCACTTGGGAAAGCGCGCGCTCCGTCTAAATGATAGTTTGATTAAAACAAACAAACATAAAAATCCCAATCCTACGGTGTAACCAACGTGCCAAAAGGATGTATGGCAGTGGGGATCCTAAGCACTGTTCTTAACGTAGGCCATGGCGAGGAAGCTTTCTTATGGGTTGTGCATTCACCCATAAGTGACCATCTATTTATGCACATTAAAAACACTAACAATGATTACCAATTCAAAATCATCATATCAGCGCAGTGACAAAGATGCGACGAATGATCTTGAGAATATTCAAAAGAGAAGGAACCGCCGAGGATCTCGAGGTGGTATCAAGAGTCGGATGACTAAACTTGAGCAGATGGATCAACGTTCACAWASGATTATCTCTTGGAACGTTAGAAGTCTTCAGAGAAGAAGAGAAGSTGTAGAACACCTACTGCAATCAAACCACATAATTGCTTTGCAGGAAACCAAAACGCGCAACAAACCCAGCTTCGGTAAGCATAATGTCTTCTTTCYACCTTCTACTGAGTCAGGCAATGCTAAACGAGGCCTMRTGACAATCGTAAGGAAGGGAATTGAATGCTGCCAMATAAAGACACCGGCAACCACGAATGGTGTGGAGACACTTGCAGTTTCSTTCAGTTATCTAAAAAGAACTTATATATTGGTTAATACTTACGTACCTGTTAACTCCTTAAAAGCTGAAACCGACTGGGATAACATCTTAACTCCGCTGCTCTCTCTTGGCGAGAAAGTCATTATCACTGGCGACCTAAATGCGCGATCTCCTTTGTGGTACGATACTGATGTTAATGCAAATGGTAAAGCTCTGGNAAATTTTAACGTGAAAAATTCCCTTGTATAAGAAGGCAGGGGTGCTTGTCATCTCGTTTAGGATTTGAAATTGATGTTTTGATCTGTTTTAGGGTTATAATTTCATGAATCTCAATGCTGTGACTCCTGGAGAGGTTACATAACAGCCAAAAATWGAAATACTCTTTCACWTAAATGTTAGGGTATACATTGATGATGACATTAATATGAGGTTGATGAATATACTTTTATTGCTGGTTGTTTCTATTTAAGATATGGGAGTTTACTAGTTCCCCAGTTCTAGAGCTGCACAACATCTTAACAGCCGAATCAAATCAGAACCTCTACCATACACAAGCCACATTTAGCAAACTTATTCATAGACTTCAAAATCTAGCACAGATGTTTGGCATCCAAGTCCAAAATGAGAAAACATTTGGAATTGGCAGGGTTACTATTGATAGCTCAACTTGGGTAGAGTTGGAAGAACAAAACAATAGCTTAGGTAAAGTTTCAATATAAATTTGCATTAATAATATATCATAGAGTTTATTGTTTATATTATAACATATTATTATTGTCTTGCAGGTAGTACAACTTCATTTGAACAACTGGTTCAACAATTCCAGATGGCCCTTTACCACACTAAAACCCCAATATATAACAGTCAGCAAATGATGGCTTTTTCAGAGAAGCATGCACCAGGATTGTGGGATATTATCATAAAAGCTATCTCTAGGAATGACAGCCGTCTAAGTGAAGATCATACAAAAATGCAGCAGCAAAGAGCAGTTGTCCTGCTACACATACTTGCTTATTTTAGGTAAATCACTAGCATTATTAGGCCAAATATTAGGGAAAACAAATACATAATGAAATTTATTGCAAGTATTACATACACAACAATATTTGTATTTCAGATCACAAAAAACCTGTCACTTACAAAAAGATCAAGGTCTGTTTTTACAACAGCATGGGACATCAAGGGTAGCACTGAATTCAGGATGAGTCCTTGGTTTTAGCACAAGCCCTAGAGATATAGACCGACACAAGCTCCAACTTATYCGAAATTATCCTTCTGTTCTCAAACAAAGATTAGAATCTGCTATTACGGTATTAAACTACAATGTACATAAAAAGGTATACAAATTACATCACATGATAACTACTGTATACTCTATTTTCTTAGGGACCCTATCTAATGGTTAACCTTTTGGACGACTTCCACAACATTCTTACTATAAGACTTCCTTCAGAATTGAAGCTCTCAGTAGCCACTCATATGGCAAGCAGTCTGCTTGATATACATAAGAAAATTCCTGCAGTGAAACTACCTCTAAAAAAGGGCATCCAACACAACACTGTCAAAATAAAAGTTGCTGGAGTTGAAAAGGAGTGCAGAGGCGGGATAAGCAAAACAAACATCAAAAAATTGTTAGATAGTTATAAAGAGAAAAGGCATCAAATGTTCTTTGAATGCTTTCCAAGAGTGCTCTTAATAACTCCAACAAAAATTCAACACCAACTTAAAGAATTAAGGTATGGTATACATGCAAAACAATTCCAGCACCTCACAGTCTCAAATAGTAATAATTAAAATGATATTCTTATTGACACTAAATTTGATATGAAATTAAACCAAACCAAACCTATATTTAACACTAACAGCAACAATTGTATTTGTGTAGGGTTTATTCTCAATTATCCCATGATGAAATGTGCACATTACAAACAACAACACTCATCGATGAATTTGAACAACCATTAAAAAGCATGGAGGATTATGAGAAGGCATTAACACACATTTTGAGTAAATGCCCTAATCTAAAAAATTATCTCCAACACTTTGTTTTACCGACACCTGGAGACTGGCCAACATGGTTCTATCAGAAGAAACTGATAGCACAGCGCAGTAATTTAAGTCTTCATTCAATCATTCCAGAGCAAGGTCCATTTCATGTGTTTCTAAATCTTCAAGAGGATATTGTTAAAATGTACCACTTCATACTCAAGCCTATTTACAAGGAAATTTTTGGCTCAGACTTGCCACTCAAGCCCAAACCATACAGAATTAACATTTTAATCAATGCCGTGTTTTTGGGATGGCTGAAAATAAGATCAAAAGTGCTACAAAAATTTAAACTTTGCAAAGATATAGAGTTTTCATGCATCCTACACATGCTTGAAGAAGCAATGCCAATTGGATTTTGTTTTTATTCCCTTGTATACAGATCTGGAGTACTTTCTGATTATGTTGAAGTAATGTTGAGACTTTTAGTATTGTTCATTGTTTGGAAAAGGAAACACTATCATAAATCAACATTATCAATGCTTAGTGACTTATGGCACCATAAAGAAAATTTAAAAAAATATTATGACTTGAAAAAATATTGGATGACTTTAATTACCGAAAAAAAAGTAGAGATCTGGCACAGTGTACTGAGGCATAACATCCAAGTCTATGACAAGGCTGACCAAATACAATCAAAAGCAATAGCTCTGGCTGCATCAAAATCTGAACAAGACTTTCAAGCACAGTTTCTCAAGCCATACAAACGTGGTTGCACAGAAAAAGACTTAAGTATGATTGCTGGCAAATCTGCAGAAGTACTTCTGTCTACCATAAAAGCCATTGGTCAAAACCTGGGTAAATCAGAAAAGGTATGGCATTAATACTAATTATTATTACTGGTGCTTGCATCAACGTGGCAAAACTACAACAAATAACCTAAAATTGTTAATTTCAATTTTACTACTTTAGATTGACCAGAACATAAATGACACACAAAAGAAGAAGAAGAAGGGCATTGCAAAAAATACTTCATGCATACATTTGATGCCACTGTAGACACAAAAGCAATGCCATTTGCCTACCTTGATTCCAAAGATGCACCAGGTAAAGATCCAGACCCACACAAACTTTGTGACAGTCCTCTTTGTGATGTTACAGACCAAGCAGCTCAAGCCTTTAGACTGCCTTGTTACCATACCATCCACAASTCTTGTTTCCAAAATTCAYGACAATCCTGTCCAATCTGCACAGATAACCTCAGTAAAAGAGTGAATAACTTAGCAGATAGTTTCAATGAAAGCTTACTGAAACCAACAACTCAATCGAAGAAAAATCAAGATAACTCTGATGATGAAGATGATGATAATGATGGCAATGAAGAAGACACTATCTCTGTGAATCATAGAGACCCATCCTATTATTTATCCAACCAATGGCAGTCACACATTGACAGAGAGTTGAACAGTTTCTC